AGTGTTGGTTGATTTTTGTGATATTCAGGATAAGTAGCAGAACATATTTTGAGGTGAAATTCAAAGTATATAACATGCTGTGTGTAAAAAGGAAAACTTTGTGTAAAAAAAATAATTTTTATTTTCTTTATGCATTTTTCAAACTCTTGTGGCAAAAAGATGTCTTCGAAAGACTCACCACACCATACTAAAAAATACCTTGGGGTGTTTACAAAATGTGGGTGTTTCTTTTGTCTTAGTGCTCTGGGGCCTCCAAAAATGTGAGTAGCCAGGAAATTAGATGTGTAATTTATGCCCCTAGAAAGTCTTAACCTTTTCCACTACCACCTCTTGGACCTTTATGAGATTCTAAATGCTGCAAGGCATTCCAATCATGTGACCATTGTGATTGGCTGTCACAGTGGTCACATGTTCGGAAAGCTCCCTATGTCTACTTGGTACCCGCCAGTAACTGTGCTGGGAGCACGCAGGGTGCGCACTCTTAGCACATAAGTGTTTACATTTGCGACACATAGATAAATACATGTTAAAGCTGACCCACCAAGAGGTGGCATAAATGAGTATGGCTGGTGGGAAGAGTTAAGGTTGTCCTTAGATTTTGGGCCTCTCTGGGTGGTTAGCATGTGACAAATACTGATATACAGTGAAGGAAATAGGTATTCGATCCCCTGCTGAATTTGAATGTACTGTATGTACATTCAACAGCACTGGTCTCTTTAGTTCCCCTGCAGCTGCCAGCTTCTCTTCCTCTCCCCTCTCACCAGTTTTGGATGTTGCAGAGAAGCCACAGGGGAATTTAACTATCCAAATAGATCGCTCCACTTCTGCTCTGACCCCCCTGTACTGGGCCCCTAATGATCCCCCTGCAACCCCTCCCTGCAGCACTTCTGGCCTGGCTTCCCCACCTTCCCCTCCTGCCAGCTGCAGCAGCTGCTAGGATAGGAGATTGGTGTCAGGATGGAGAGCAAGGGTTGGGGGCTGGTAAACATATTATATTTACCAGCCCCTTCCTAAATGAACAAAGTAAGCGATCACTACCAATCATGAGCACAGTTCTATATCCACTGAACCACTACAGAAAATGCTGATGATGCCATAAGCACTTCTGCTCACTAGGGATAAGTTTGGTCCAAACCCAAACATTGTCCATCTTTTGCTGGGATGGTGAGCTGTGGGTGGGAGACTCCTCAATTTGTTGCTACACCTACACTAAGAGGAGGGGATGTTCATGACATTATTGACTTAATATGGCCATGTGCCCATATTGGGTCATTAATACCACAAGTATCCCTGTCCCTTTGTGTATGTCAGCTGTGAGACCAGGAATTCCCTGCCCTTAGCCCACTGGCCTAGAAATTACAGCAAACTTCAGGGTTCAGGCCAAACCCAAGCCCGAACTCATCATTGCTCATCAACACTCCTCACCCTTGGCAGCATACGTAGTTCAACCCACTTCCTGTAAGTCCAGGTTGCCAAGGACACAGTCTTCACGCCAGCCTGGGCGCACACTACTACTGCTCCCAACTGCACTCACGGATCATTACATGACCTTTGGGAAGAAAAAAAACATGTGTATACATTTAATTTTGTTTTTTAAAGTTGGAGAGTTTTGAAGGTGGGGTGGGAAAGCGGGAAATAAGGGAGTCTCATACATTATATTAACACTATATTTTGAGATAATATAAGCTCAGTAAAATATTGAGGATTATCAGCTTATTGCTGAGAGTGACATACTATTGTTAGGAAAAAATATGCAAAGAAAAATCAAGAAATACTGAGATGTATTTATCTGTATGGTGTGCAGACTTTTGTATCCTACCTCTCTGAAATAAACAGCTCCATGCTCTGTATCTGCGTTCTTTCCATCAGTCTTCTATGGCCACTTTGCTTTGAAATAAAGCTTTTACAATTACCTTGGGAGGATGTTTCCCCAAAGCATTTTATGTATTTTCCTCATAAACCTTTGCATTTATCTTAAATGAGCCTAGCGCAAAAAATTAAGCTGGCTTCTTCTAGACATTTGGGCTGTAATACAAGAGCAAAGTGCCTGAAGGGTGAGCAGTACACACCATAGAATAAAGAATAAAGGTGTTACCGCTTGCATAGATTCAAAACATCTTCTGAGAAAGAAATAGGACTCGATTGTCTTGCTAGAACATGAATTTAATAGAAAGACTAGGATAGCATAAGCCAATACAAGGGATGACGGGGAAGAATTATCTGTCTATGGTACTTATAACATTATCAATGTCCTTTATGAATCTAAGTTTACTTTTCATTGGAGAATTATTTTTTCCAGTATAATGCCATATCTTTCTCTAAAGAAACATTTCTAAATAAATCCGTGAATTCCAGGAATCACAGAAGACTTTAAAAAAATGCTGGTTTATAGGAGGTTAGGTTCAACGAGGTGTATGCCACTGTACTACATACAATTTTATTGAGTTACAGGAGTATAGCTATTGCTATACACCTGGCATTCTGACAAGAGAGCTGTGTTCTGCTACAGAGCAACTGCACTACCTGCTTCTTCCCTCCACTGTTCAATCACACAATACTTTGTATTGTGTGAATAGGTTCAGGCTTCTGTGATTGGGCAGGAGGAGGGGAGGAGAAGGAAGAGCAGATGCAAATGGTAGGAGAAGGCAGAACAGCTGCAAATGATTCTGCAGTTGCAGGATCAGGGATCCAAAGGTTCATTGTCAAGTGCCAGGAGTAAAGTAATAGCCTTACTCAGTGTTCTGTAAAATAACCAATTTTTAATTTCTGTACTGAAATCTACTGTATATCAAAAGTTATTATTCAGACTCTGCCTCTAGAGCAGGGTTTCTCAACTAGGGTTTCTTCAGAGCAGTCATCACTAAATGGTGGATCGCAGTCTGGATCAAGACCAACTCACTGTCTCATCCGGACCTGTGGTCGTGCCATTTTGGAGACGCTTCTTTTGCCCAGCTTCGGCCACTGTTATTATAACAGCAGAACAGAGGCAGAATGGGAGGCAGAATGTTTCTGGACTGAGTGTGGGAGGAACAGCACAGCATTGAATGAAGTGCAGGAGCTGCCTTCTCAAGGTAAACAGCAGGTGATTGGTTACTAGAATGCAGGATGGTCCTAGTAAACAGTCACCTGCTGGTAAATACAAGTTAACCCCCACAGCTCTATCTCTCGCACTCTGTTCAATGATGTGCTGCTTCCTGCTCTCTTCTCTAAGGTAGGAGTGTGAAGAGGACAATACTCTTGGTGTTCTGTGTGTGTGTGTGGGGGGGGGGGGGATGTTGTGAAGAGGGTAGTGCTGTGGGGGGTGGATGCCAAGAGGACAGAGCACACTACTGTGGGGGTGATGTAAAGGAGGGGGTCAGTGCAGGGGTTTGTAAATTGTGAAGGGGAGCAGTGCAGTGGGGGGAAGATGTGAAGAGAGCAGAGCACATTACTGTGGGGGGTGTGATGTGAAAGAGAGACAATGCTTTTTGGGGGGGGGGGATGTGAAAGGGAACACTGCTGTGGGAGGGGGGTTGATATGAGAAGTACAGAGCACACTACTGAGGGAGTGTTATGATGTGGGGGGGCAGTGCTGTGAGATGGGTGTTTGATGTGAAGAGGACAGAGCACATTACTGTTGGGGAGGAATGATTTGTGATGTGAGAGATCTGTATGGGGAGAAGTAAAGGAGGGCACTGCTTTTGGGGGGGGATGTAAGGGGGGGGGGGGGGGGCAGTGTTGTGGGGGTGCAGTTCTGCTGTGGGGAGATGTGAAGGGGCAGAGGAAAGTACTGTGGGGGGGTTGATGTGGAGTGGGCAGAGGACAGTAATATGGGGGGGATGTAAAGGGGCAGAGGACAGTACTGTGAGGAGAGGGTGAAGATTTAAAGGGGGATTGAGGAATGCTGTGAATAAAGGTGGTATGGATGTGAAGGGGGTTCAGTACACTACTGTAAATGGGGAGATGATATAATGGGGGCCTGAAAACACTACTGTGAAAAGGAAACTGTGATGTGAAGTGGGGGACTGTGATATGTGGAGGTAAGGGTTTGTGATATAGGGGGAGAGAGCTGAAAAAAAAATGCAGTTCAGACTTCTGCTGGAAGAAAACTACTGGTCAGACCTCCGTGAATTTTAATTCAATACCCTTGCTCTAGAGCAGGGGTCCTCAAACTACGGCCCACGGGCCACATGCGGCCCGCCGAGGCCATTTATCCGGCCCACCGGCGGGGGTGTATTTTCTGTGAGGAAGGGACACTAAGTACAGGGGTGGGTAGGGGGCTGCTGTACCTTACCTGTCTGCGATCCCAGTCCCATGACGATCCAGTCCAGGAAGCGCTGCTCCTTCATTCACTCCGGCCACTCCCTCACTCCTGCCGCTCAGCTCCGCCTCCTCACCAGTGATTTTTCGCCAGAACTGTAGCTCAGGAAAGGCACACAGGCGGCCAATCACCTGCGAGGAGGCGGAGTCGAGCGGCCCTGCAAACATCGAGTGAGGGAGAGGCCGGAGTGAAGAAGGACAGCTGACAGGTAAGTGTGCCGTGCTGATGGTGCTGCTGCAACCAGGTATGCTGGCTGCAGCAGCACCATGCTGGAACAGGAGTCAGCAAGTTAAGTGTTATTGGTGTCAGTGGGAGGAATAGTGCCCCATCATTGGTGTCACTGATACTAATGATGGGGCATTATTCCTCCCACTGACACCAATGATGGGGCACTATTCCTCCCCCCACTGACACCAATGACAGGGCACTATTCCTCCCCCCACTGACACCAACGATGGGGCACTATTCCTCCCCCCACTGACACCAATGATGGGGCACTATTCCTCCCCCCCCACTGACACCAACGATGGGGCACTATTCCACCCCCCCACTGACACTAACGATGGAACACTATTCCTTCCCCCACTGACACCAATGATGGGGTACTATTCCTCCAACTGACAGCAATGTTGGGACACTATCCCCCCCACTGACAACAATGACAGGGCACTATTCCCCCCCCACTGACACCAATGACGTACTATTCCTCCCACTGACACCAAAGATGGGGCACTATTCTTCCCACTGACACCAATGATGGGACACTATTCCTCCCACTGACACCAATGATGGGACGCTATTCCTCCCACTGACACCAATGTTGGGACATTATCCCCTTCCCCACTGACACCAATGATGGGGCACTATTCCCCCCCCCTCCACACACTGACACCAACGATGGGGCACTATTCCTCCCTCCACTGACACCAACAGTGGGGCACTATTCCTCCCCCCACTGACACTAATGATGGGGCACTATTCCCCCCCACTGACACTAATGGTAGGGCACTATTCCTCCCACTGACACCAATGATGGGGCACTATTCCTCCCACTGACACCAATGATGGGGCACTATTCCTCCCACTGACACCAATGATGGGGCACGTTTCTTCCCACTGACACCAATGATGGGGCACGTTTCTTCCCACTGACACCAATGATGGGGCACGTTTCTTCCCACTGACACCAATGATGGGGCACTATTCCTCCCACTGACACCAATGATGGGGCACTATTCCTCCCACTGACACTAATGATGGGGCACGATTCTACCCACTGACACCAATGATGGGGCACTATTCCTCCCACTGACACCAATGATGGGGCACTATTTCGCTCCATAAGACACACTTGGGGGGAAATGTCTGTGCGTCTTATGGAGCGGCCGGCCCAGTATTCCCGCCGCCGTTGTATGTCCGCAGTCTCTGGTCATCTCCTGTACTGTGTCCGCATTTGTTCATAGTTTTTTTTTTTTTAAACTATAGTCCGGCCCTCCTACGGTCTGAGGGACAGTGAACTGGCCCCCTGTTTAAAAAGTTTGAGGACCCCTGCTGTAGAGGTTGCTCACCGTTCCTTGAGCAATGATCAATTTCTGCATCTCAGATAAGTTTGCCGACACCACTAATCTTTTTTTTGCTATATGTAAGGGGATAATTCTTCCCACTGACCATCGAACTAATGTATCATGAGTTGTAAATACAGTAATTTTTAGCAGGGGTTCTCTGAGACTGGAAAGTTATTTCAAATGTTTTCTGTGTTGAACAGGTTGAGAAAGGTTGCTCTAGAGTGATGATGTAACATCTAAGTGCTTATGTGATTTTATGTGTCGCTCAGCCCACATGATTTATAAAATGTAAATCTCTTTGAATCAGTTTTGGCCTTTCCAACGTTGGTCTTTATTTACCAGTCTAATCCCTCCCTAACATAGATTTATTTTGTATGCAACTTTCAAAGTGATTGTGAATCAGTGCATACATCTCTATCAGTTCTTTTATTTTATTAAAGCGTGTTTTGCTACTGTTCCCATTGCCAGGCTTTTCCTTTTCAAAGTGGTATTCTCTACTCACTTCTTGTATCATCACTGGGATAGAAGTATCAGAAAATATCCCCAACAGAGACACAGACAGCAACAAAAAAGCAGTTTAAACCCACTGTATCAATGAAAAGTGATGCTAAATTGTTTTTTTTTTTGCTGAAGACTTCTCTCCTGGAGAGGTTTCGGTCTGGAACTGTGGTGTCACAGGACATGTTTCCTGACATCCTGCATCACAATAGAGGCGGCTGGAAGCAGTGTGGTGGTGGTGGGCTCCAGAAGCAGTAAAGGATCTAGACGTAGAGGTAAACTGTGCAGCCAGAAGTAAAATATTCAAGATCATCAGTATGGTTTAGCAAGAAAAAACTATCGACTTTAAATTAATCTAAAACCAAAAGCAGATGCTAAATATGTTGCAGCTTACCAGTATTTAGAAATAGTGGCTGCATCAGTTTTCTTTGTTAGGTCTCTTCCTCTATATTTTCATATGGTGATTCTGGCCAATAACACACTTTCTGTCTTAGGGTAAAACTGCTTCTTCAGTTACTGTATCTTGGAAGAGCAGTATTGTCACCCTAACACAGAAAGTGTGTTAGTATCACAAAACACCACCCCCTGATAACACTGTTTGAGATTTCAGTTTATTTAACCCAGAAGCTACAAAAACACTAGATTTCTATCAAGATCCACAGGTATTAGCAAAAAAATGTACTTAGCCTGAAAAAGAAAACCATGATGTAGCCACTACAAGAGCTATGATATATTACATTTTTGTTCTTGGGTTTAGATATACTTTAACCAATGATTCTCAACTTTTATAAGCAATGTACCCCCTTGAGGATAACCTTCAGGTACCCCATAAGAATTTATAAGCTCAGTACCTTTTTTTAGTGTTTAAATTTCCTTTTATATTCATCAGCTGACTTAATGCTACAGATGTACTCAAATATTGAACAGGTTTGCACTCCTATCGGTGCTCCTGGCCACACAGTAGGCATGCAAATTATGGCAGACTTACCTCTTAATTTGCTTTTTATCCAGCATTGATAGGGTTGTACTACCCATTGCTGCTCCATCACCATCATTGCCATCTTCACTGAAGCTTATTTCGCATCGAATGTCATTTCTTGCCACTGGGCAGGCACTGATGATGTCATCTCATCATCTATCTATCAATCTATCTAGCTCAGATATTAGTACCCTACAAGTGCAGATTAGACCAACAAAGTCTCTACGAGAAAACGATCACCTAGCATTTTTTTTTTTTTTTAGTCTTTAGTCATATTTTAACATCAAGTGGCAATAGTCTCAGAACTTCTTGGTGGTACTTTTCAAACATTTTGCTGGTTACCAACCCCACTGTCTAGAATCATGGGAGCAACAAGTAAAAAGGAATATCTTTCACACGAGGCAATCACTTCATAGTTTTTAAACATTGAATTTTGTTAAAATTGAATGTGTTTTCCATAGCAACCAACCAGATTTTGGGTTACAGATTTGACATGGACTAAATATGCCTTCTTTTATTTCTTTTTAGTATGTATTTCTCATTGGTGAGAGATCACCTGATCTATTGCGAGTGGCAGTATTATAGATATTATACAGTATAATAATTTATTTTGTAAATATTTATTCAGATATTACAGTATGTGCATTACTGTGTATTATACAATTGTATTCATTAATATTTCATATACCTTTTATCAGCCTGCACACTACTGTTATATTATCTCACATATTCTCACATATTCATAAACTTATATTGTTCCTGTCTGCTGGTATGAGCCTTTTTTACTAGTTTAAAAGTTTTTTTACAATAATAAGTTTTATTCCTATCAACAGTTTAGCACTTCATCACCAAGGTGTAGAATAATATTAAGATGCTACCCTATAGTTCTATCACTGTTAAAATTAAAGTAAAACTTGAGTGTTGTTGAAAAAAAAATAGTGCCTTTAGGGTAGCTATATTCACTTCAAGGATTTTAGCAAGTGTTATTGGAAATCCTTATCTACTTCTCCCCTGTATTAGATACAGTATTTCAAGCTGAAAATTTTCATTTATGTTGGATAGAATTGGAAATGGATAGAACCCCTGATAGATTTTTTTGTGCAGTCCAATCCATCCAGCACTATACCTTTACCACCACTATGTAGTCTCTCGGCTTACACTGCTATTGCACTGTAGCTCAGTCTAGAAATAGCCAGCCAGTAAACCTCAAAAGTTTAATGCGGTCATAATAAAGAGATGTTATAAAAAAAAAAGAATGTTTCAAGGCCATAATTGACCTCTTGCTCAAGGTGACAGACAAATGACTATATATATATATATATATATATATATATATATATATATATATATATACTACTCTGCAAAATGTTTAGGCAAGTGTGAAAAATGCTGTACATGAAGAATACTTCAGAAATAGAAGTGTTAATAGTTTATTTTTATCAATTAACAAAATAGAAAGTAAATGAACAGAAGAGAAATCCAAATAAAATAAATTTTTGGTGTAACCACCCTTTGCCTTCAAAACAGCATCAGTTCTTCTAGGTACACTTGCACACAGTTTTTGAATGAACTCAGCAGGTAGGTTGTTCCAAACACCTTGGAGAATTAACCACAGATCTACTGAGGCTGTACGCTTTTTCAAATCCTTCTGCCTCTTCATGTAATCCCAAACAGACTCAATGATGTTGAGATCAGGGCTCTGTGGGGGCCAAACCATTACTTCCAGGCCTTTTGTTCTTCTTTACACTGAAGATAGTTCTCAGTGACATTGGCTGTATGTTTGGGGTTGTTGTCCTGCTGCAGAATAAATTTGGGGTCAATCACATGTCTCCCTGATGGTATGGCATCATGGTAAGTATCTGCCTGTATTTCTCAGCTTTGAGAACACAATTGATCCTGACCAAATTCCCAACTCCATTTGCAGAAATGCAACCCCAAACTTGCAAAAAACCTCCATCATACTTCACTGTTGCTTGCAGACACTCATTATTGTTATGCTTGCATATATTCATTATTTTGACTCATCAGTCCAGAGCACCTGCTGCCATTTTTCTGCACACCAGTTTCTATGTTTTTATGCATAGTTAAGCCTTGATTCAACGTCAAAGGTGTGGCTCTTTGGCCGCAATTCTTCCATGAAGACCACTTTTTGCCAGACTTCTCCAGCGAGTAGATGGGTGTACTTGGGTCCCACTGGTGTACACCAGTCTGTGTGCTAATGGCACTGCTGGACATCTTCAGATGTCCACCGAAAGTAGGCATGGTGTGTCTTTTATCTGCTGCAATAAGTTTCCTTGGCCGACCACTGAATCTATGGTCCTAAACATTGCCCATTTCTTTGTGTTTCTTTAAAAGAACTTGAATGGCACATCTTGAAACCCCAGTCTGCCATCTGCTTATGCTTAGTCTTGCCATGGTGTATGACCTGTGACATGAAATTGTCATCCGCAACCTCAACCTAGCAGAGCTTGGCTGTTCCTGACCCAGTTTTAAGTCTCCTACACTGCTGTTTCTATTTCAGTTAATGTCTGTGCTCTCCAGGACTTCCATCTTCATTAGGAATCTCAGAACATACCTATAGTGATGCAAGTTGATTTATTTGCAATGTGCAATTTTTCATTACTATGATTACCATAATATTAAAAAAGAAAAGCGTTGCGCTGCCACACACCATTCAAAACCTAGATAACAAAATGACAAACCATCTTCCTATAATGACCCATTCAAATAGGATCAACTCACAGATCAACAATAAACACTCAACAGTCCTCCTAATCCCCAAAAGTGCTAAGTGCCATAAGTAAGTAAATAAATTAATTCATAAAATAAATAAATCAACTCATAAATGTATTACGCGTAAACAGTGAGTAAAAAAATCTGAAGAAAAGCAGTAAATAACTGGCAAACCTCCTAACCCCCAAAGTGCTAAGTGCAATAAAGAAATGTAAATAAATTAATTATTCAAAAGTACATGAAATATTAAATATTTACATATCAAAAAATTGAGTGAATAAATATGATAAATAAATAATAAAAATAAAATATTTGTTCAGATCTAAAAACAATAAAGTGCAAATCAGAATGAAACTAGATAGTGCTCCAAACTTTCTGTGCCAGAATAAATGTCAGTGGATCCACTTCGTGAGCTACCACCATATAAATTGCGCCCTCACCTTAAAATTTGTTTCATACACACAGGTTGAATAGCTCTTGCAAATTAAA